TAGCGGTGCTGGTATAACCCCAAGTGGTCCAGGTGGACATGGAGGAAACAAAGGCCGAGCCATTGCAGGGAATGTAGATGGATAACGGTGAGGTCCTGCAAATAGAAAATATATCTATGCAGATATATCAGAGAAAGTTTACAAACTGAATATTTTATGGAAAGTTTTGGCATAAATATAGAATAAGAATTTGAATTTTGAATAATTATATGATGTTACCACACATCAAAAGCATATTAGAGATGGTACCATAGGCATTGCAACAATCACCAGCTGAATAGAAAACCTGAAGGAAACATTAAAGAGAATCTGTTAGTACTGTGGTTAATTACACTGCACTGACCTTATGCATCCATCCATAAGAGCCTTCTCAAACTATCCCATGGGTAACATGAGAATTCCAGCATCTCATGCTTCCAAATGAATTACTAACATGACCTTATGCGTTTATATTTCAACGACTGGATTAATCTCAAGCGCTAGAATCCCAATGTGCAAAATAAAAAACTCAAAACAAATAGAAACACAGAAAAGAATATGTAAAATGCAATACCTCAGAATACAAGGCCAAGGAGCGCTCAGTTGCTAACATGGTCTGCTGCTGGCAATTCATAAACCCATGAAAAGGAAAGTACCCTTATAACTACCAAAAAGTATAAATGAACATGACAAAGGCACACATGATTTATATAAAGACATATTCTATTAGAAATTTACAATAATACGAGAAATTATAACTATAACATTTATAATATTGTATAAGAGTGTGAAGCTGCAATAGTCCCGCGAGGACTCTGTATTTTGGATATTTCCTATTTCTTGTCTAACTGTCTCTCCTGTATGCAAGCAGTACTTTTCTTGTTAGAATCAGCATGGAATAAAAATCTCAAAAAAAATTAGCCTTGTGATCTATGAAAAAGTAATTTAGAGATATTAATCATCCATAAACTATAAATTTTTTTTAAAAAATATTAAATCTATAAAACATCAGGTTTTGGGTTTGTTTTCCCAAAAAATTCTTTAAATGGCCTCGCATGTGTGAAATCTGAATGCGAACGTGTCACTTACTTTGTTGAAAGTAAGAAAGGAGATTTTCTCAACGACCCTCTTCTTCCTGACAATTGACCTCCTTGCAGATGATGCAAAGAATGTTGGATTAAAATTGAAATTTGCACCTACAGACGATTTGCAAGAAGGAGGGATACCTTCCTGCAGAATGAGTTACGAAATCTATCTTAGACAACTCCAAGGACTTAAATACTACCAGAATTAAAGTTAACAAATCCTAATTAAAGTTAACAAATCCTAATTAAACTAAATAGCATGCAATTTAAAGTAAATTTATGAGAACAAGATGTACCCAAATTAAATTAAACATATTCATTGTTAAATTAAAATGCTATTTACTGATAGATCTGAAAATTAAATTGCTGCAGAATTAGAGATTTTATTTTAATTAAAATTAAAACAAACATGAATAGGAATTAAACTAACATGCTTGAAGTTGAGAAGAAAGTGAATGCCATATAAGCAATCATTGAAGAAATGCTACTTATCAGAAACATTAAATTAATTGCAGATAGAAAATGAACAATACATTGAAGAAATTTGAAAGATTTAAGTTCATTGCATAAAACGAAATTATTGAAGCGAATACATAAATTAATTTGTCTTCTAGAATGATGAAAAACCTAGATCTATTGGAAATTGTGTTGATATCCGAAATTTGGAAGCAATTGCAAAGAAAATGAAAGTTTGAAAATTTGTAGGTGTTTGAGTAGGGTTGATCGTGTGTTCTCTCTTCCAAAATTTCCTTTTGTTCTCCTTTTGCCGGTTGTAACTTCCCACTTTCTGCAATTACAAAATTGTGGGTGGTTTCTTGAGGTAGTGGGACAGTTTAACAGTTGAACTAGTTAGATCTCCTTTTAGATTTTCGCCACCTGTGCTCTTATCTAATAACTCCCTTCTATAACTACAATCTCCTCCTATATTTCAGCTAAAATAATCTCTTTTTGACTCAATAAGGTAATTATATGGTAAAATTTTATCTTTATCTCCCTTTTGTGCCAATGTGGCAGCTAATCTGTCATGGAGCCCATAATAACAAATTTGACATGGCAAAATCTCCTCCATCCATTAGAAATTTTTTAACACATGACATTATCTTAAAATTTTGCAATTTATGGTATAAACAATGCCCCCAACACTTGATTT